TGGACTTAAATTTTATTTCATTTTAATTAATTTATATTGTCATAAGTGACTAGTGACTTCTGTATTGGATAGTGAAGTTCATTGTCTTGTTTAGGCTTATCACAGAAGCTTCTTTCAAATGTGCTGACAGATCAGTTGATTTTGAGAGGTTGTGTATGTGTGTGTGTATGTGTGTCTGTCTGTCTGTCTTTGATCAGGGTCAGCAGCACCACTTACAGATATGCAGACCTAATTATCTGAAAGAGGAACGCTAGGACTGCTTTCAGTCATCTTACCTTAGCTCACCTCTCAATCACATTTTTAACTTGACTCGTTGAAAATCTATAGCCAAATTTCATCCACTTAAGTGAATGGGCCAAGTAAAGCTTCTTGAAAATTCAACTTCTTGGGAATCTCACTGAATAAATAACCCCACCACCACTGCTTAAAAAAAAAAGACGAGGACGTGATTAGCATTGTCCAGTAGAATTTATAGTGTGTATGAATAAGGGTCAAATTACAGTTTTACTTATTTAGATTTTGCTTTAGAAAACAGGATGAACTATTTCCCACTTTTCTGTAAGGATTTCTATTATTTTGAAATTAAAAATTTATCAGTACACCATCTGAATTCTAAAAGTAAGTGGCAGTGATACGCTGGAACATTAGGCTAGGTTGCAATAAGTAAGCTTCAGGGAGTGACACTCTTTTGTTCATTAACTTCCTAACGGTCACTGTAAAGTCTCTGGTACACAAGGCACTCTGCTAAGTATAGTGGATGATATAAAGATAAGTCCCTGACCTCAAATAATTCTCATCAAGCTCTGGAACCTGGAGTTGATAAACCTTTAAAGAAATGTATCAACACAGTATATCCCTATCTTGACTTCCCAATCAGTTAACTTTTATATAAAATTTTTCTTAGGAATATATCCAGAATGACTATGATCAGAAAGTCTTCAGTGATGGAAAGTCATGGTATTCACCCTTCCATCTTAAAAATAGATATAGACCAAACGCAACACGATATTCTGGAATGGATCCTGGAACAGACACAAGCCACTAGTGGAAAAACCAGTAAAATCTGAATAAAATCAGAAGTTTAATAGTAATTAATTTCGTAGTTCTGACAAATGTACCACAGCAGTGTTAATATTAGAGGACACTGGGTAAAAACTGCACAAGGACCCTTTCACTGTACTATCTGTGCAATTTTTCTGTAAACTTAAAATTATCAAAAAATTTAAAGTTTATTGAAAATAGAAAAGAAAGGACAAGCAGGATTTCTAAAGCCTCTTAGAATTCTCTCTGAGTTGCCTGGCAATGAGCTAGCTTGGACTGGGGGCTGACCTTCCCCTAGCAGGAGCACTTGCACATGACCTCAATTTATCCCAAGGTTGCTGGTAACTCCTATAAACAGAGTATTTGGCACTCCACCTCAAACTATTTGTCCCCAGTGGCAACGCCACTCTCATACTTGCTCTATAATAATGTATAGCCAAGGGATGGTGTTGCCTCCTGGATCCCATCCCCTGGGTGTGTCCATCTGTGCCCAAACACACCATTAGGAGAGGACAGGAGACCCATGAATCTTCTGATCCTTCTTTCTATTAGTTCCAGTATTTACCATGTTGCACAAGCCCATTTCGTGAATAATACTGTGGAAATGCCACAATACTTTGCTCTTTAATCTTACTTTTTGAACATCTCCATGGTTTGTGTTTTTGAAGGTATTTGTCATTGGTTTGTTTTATTTTTACTAACAGGAAAAAAAAAAAAGTTTGAATAGACAACCTTTTGAAAGTTGAGAACCAAAGAAGCGGGGAGATGAGGTGTTGAACCAAACATAGATGACAAAGCTAAATTTGAAAGGATAGATGAGCGTTTCAATTCTAAACCAGTCTTTAAATTGTCATCCTCAACTTTGATGAATGCAGAATTTGTGCAAACCAGTGTTTTGAGTATAAATATTTAGATTTGCTTACTTAAAAAAGGATTAACTTAAATAAATCAATAATTTCAACTACTTCCTCACTAATTTTAAATGCCTGGATATATATAGATAGATAGATAGATAGATAGATAGATAGATATAGTAAGCCAAAAGTATAATCATGGATAGAAAGATCTATTAAGTTGCACGCATAAGCTTAGAGGTTAGGATGAAGTCACTTTAAATATACAGAAGTCAAAATTTTGAAAAATGTCTGTAGGAAGCTTCAATTTTCCTCAGGGTATTTGTCTGTACACTTAATGAGGAACATATCTTGCCTTCACAATTTCAAAGGCAGCTGGAGGTTTTTACACATTGGTATAGACAAGCCTATGCAAGACCTTCTCACATCGCGAACAGGTTTTTAAATAATGTGTGAAAACTCTGAGATTGTAATATACTTAGTACTCTCACGTGACAAAATAAGAGAAGAAAAATCAGTTCCCACGCTAAGAATGAAGAAGTGGTCCTGCAGGAGCCATATACCAATTGAATGAACAATTTCAAATGTGGGCCACAGACTTTATGGAGGAACAGATTTATATCTTATGTGAAAATCTGGGGCTCAGAGTTTCTTCAGATAGTTTCACAGGCAAAATCAGTAAATTTCTTTGGAGCAGAAAAAGAGTTAAAGGCAAAGCACTATCTGAATCTTTTCTATCCCCTGTCCCTAAAACCTTCCACAGCCCCTCTGTGATCATTATTTTTCTTTATTCTGGCAAAATCAAGAAGGCTTCTTCATTTTCCTGTTGACTCCAAAATAATAAATAATGTTTAGCCCGTCTCAGGTACTTTTCAAAAGGAAATAGGGATTCCTCTTCTGGAATGGTAGGACAACCCCACTACAGTCTATATTATTCTCTAATTACAAGTAAAACTACTTGGAAAGTAAACCAAAATCAGCTGCCATTGAGTCATTTCCAATTCACGGTGGTCCCACGTGTGTCAGAGTAGAACTGTGCTCCATAGAGTTTTCAATGGCTGATCTTTTTGGAAGTAGATCACCAGGCACCAATCTTTCAGTTAGCAGCCAAGTGCATTAATCATTTGTGCCACCTGGAAACTCCCCCTAAAAATACAGACAGTAACTGCCTGAGAACTCTAAAAAGTAAACAAAAGGAGGTAGATTGTGGAAGAAAGTAAAAACATGGAGAAGGAAACCACATGGTAGGTGAGAAGTAATGCAAGTGGCTAAAGTCTCAATAGAAACATCATATTTCTGGCTAGGGGAATGTAATCAACAGGCCCTGGAAGGCTGGGGAATAGAATGAGGTGGGGGGGATTCCAGAGAGCTGATAGCTAGAGTAGGGGATACTCTTATTCTGTACATGGACCCATATATGTCTCATGCTCACCCTAAGCTTGCATGTGTGGAAGAGACACAAAGCAGCAGAGCAAAGGTTTTAAGAATGGAGATGAGATTTAAACCGCAGCTCAAATCATTAACACCTGAGAGGCACGTGCATAGGATAGATCCAAAGGAGCAGAGGAAAGACTTTGAAAACTAAACTGAGATTGGAGCCACAGAAGATGAGACAAAAAGTGTGGTTTGAAATAAAACAGTTTGATAGCCTGCTAAAACAACAAGAAGAATCAATATTTTCTAGAACAAGAAACATGAACGGGGATATAAAGGTACATTACAAATGATAAAATTCTCCACGAAGCTATAACAATCCTAAATATCTACGTACCTATCAACAGAACCTCAAACTACATGAAGCACAAACTGACCCAACAGAAAAGAGAAACAGAGTGCTTGCTGCGCCAGCGCATATACTAAAACTGGAACGATACAGAGAAGAGTAGCATGGCCCCTCTGCAAGGATGGCACGCAAATTCGTGAAGTGTTCCGTATTTTTTCAACTAAAGCACAATAAAAAACAAGAAAAGGAAAGAGAAACAGAAAGATCCACAATTATGTTTGGAGACTTCAGCACGTCTTTTCTCAGCTACCAATAAAACAAGTTGACAGAAAATTAGTAAGGATATGTAAGACCTGCACGATATTATCAACAAAGTTGGTGTAATTGACATTAATAGAACATTGCACCCAACAACAGCACAATATACATTGTCTCTTCATTCCTTTACCAGTGTCTTTTGCTGGACAGAAGTTTTCCTTGTTTTGTTTTTCAGAAGCTTTCTGCTTGACATCATGGCCTCCTGTCCCTTCTGACAGAATTCAGCTAATATCTTGAAAAGGAAACCAGCCATGTATCAGGCTCAGTTCTCCATACTTCCCTTCTCACTGGGAACTTGGCCTCCAAAGTCTCCGGTTGTGTCTCTTCAACCCCCTAAGACTTCCCAAATCTCTGTTGGTTTCTTTGTCCTACAACACAGCTCCTCTGCCTAGGAAACCATGAATTCTCAGCTTCTTGCCCTGTTCCCACAGTCAACAAATGCCCCCAGGAAAAAATGTGGCTGTAGTACACCAGCTCAACTCTCTGTAGTTTCCCTTTCTCCACAGTCTTGGCCCCTGTAGACCTGGTTACTTCAACAGCTCTATAATGTCTTTAAATATGTATTTTTTTAATTCAGCTTTTCTTATTGTCCTCATTGATAGCAATGGTCTTCAACAAGCTCCTGCACTAAAACCATAAACAGAAGTCACTATGGGTTTTTGCGCTGTATCTTTAATTTGTTACAAAGACAAAAACATGGGTTTTTGAAAAAGATTAAAACAATTAATATATGATGTATACTATAATGAAAGGAGCCCTGGTGGTGTAATGGTTAAGAGCTCAGCTACTACCCAAAAGATCAGCAGTTCAAAGATCAGCTGCTCCTTGGAAACCCTATGGGGCAGTTCTTCTCTCTCCCTTAGGGTTACTATGACTCGACAGCACCTAACAACAACAACGACAATATAATGAAAGCTAAAGTGTAAAAGAGAGTTCCATCAATAAATCTCTGTATTATTTGGGTGTATTTTTGATTACTAAATTTTTATTATGCATGTTCAGAATGTTTAAACTATCTTTAATTGTAATAGTAACTAAGAACCACAAAGCTTTATGTAGTTCTTTTTCCATCCTATTCATTGGTCTTTGCTATTAAAAAGTGTGATCTTTCTTAATTTTCTACCTTTTGGAGTAATTCCAGGAGAGTCTTTTATATTTGCTTTCTCTTGACTTCTTTAGCTCTCTCTAATTTTATGACACTTTATTCATTGATTTTCATCATATCAATAATTTAGTTAGAATCTTGAATAGTCTCCACTGAAATTGCATCAATGTCCTTTTTTCATTCTAAGAGTAAAAGAATGATTATTAAAGCAATAAAACAATGAAATACCACATGTACCATTGTGAGTCCATAAAAAATAATTAGGTATTTCTTCAGGGACTTATTACATTAGTAGGTACTTATTTCGAAGCACATGGTATTATCCTATTTACATGGTTTATGCTGTGCAATAAACACAAGTGCAGTCTGAATTCTTCTATGGCAATTAAATGTAGAATTGAGCTTGAATAGAACTTCATAAATAATAACATTACTTTCTTTTTAGCCTTGCTTTTCAGAGAAAAAACTTCATTTTTGCTTATAACTGTGAGCAAACCAATAATAGTTTAAACATTAAGAGTTGAAGTATACTGCTGGTTAATAATTAACTCCAAATTCCTGCTACAGTCCTCAGAACATAATTAGATTGATATTCTTAAAAGGCTATGTGCTCTCTGTTCATATAAAAGCTAATTATTTTTTTCTTTATTGTCCATTTAATATGCATAATCTTTAAGAGACATATCGGGAAACTCTTTTATCAAGGAAATAAAGCAACAACTCTTAGCCTCATGTTATTGCTCATTTATAGAATCAAAAATACAAACTGACTTTTACCAATCCCCTCCAAAGAACTTTCCAATCCCTAAGACTATCCCTATCCCCACACATGAAAACTTTTTTTGAGCAGTGCCAACTGAAAACTTACAGAGCTGGCTAAAACCATGACAAACTTAAAGTGTCTTTTTCTTTTAAACTGTAAGAAGAAATCAGGGAAAATTTAGTGCTTTTTCCTAGTAATATTTCTCCCTAGTTTTGCATTTTCCTGAATCTTTAGGAAGATGGACAGAAAATTCCTTCCAGAAAAGTCTATGAGAAGACTTCTAGTTTAAAAGTGCCTGGTGCTTATAGCCTTGTTCTTCATTCAGCCAAAGAATTCTAGCGTTAGAAGAGTGCAGTAAGATTAACTACTTTTATATGTGGTCTTTCTAGCCATGGTCTTGTAACTCCCACCCAGGTGATTGGACGGGACTGTGTGATACGGTAATTGTGGTCTACCAAGGGGATTGGTCAGTTTTGCCTTAAAAGAGAGCCAATTCCAGAGCAGAGAGGAGGATCTTATCACCACCAATGAAGAACAGCCAGAAGTGGAGAGTGCTTCCTTTGGACCTGGGATCTCTGCACTGAGAAGCTCCTGGAAACAGGAGACTGAGAGAGAGAGAGAGCAAGCTGTAACCCTGAAGATGGTGAGAACTGGTGGTAGGAGAGACCTGGCAGCAGAGACCTGGTAGCAGGAGATGGCACGGCTGGCTTCACGGCCCACCGAGAGAGAAAACTGAGTGCCTTTGGGCAGAGGCCGAGGGCCAGGGAGAGATGTGCCTGCAAGTACAGCTGGGAAGAAGCTATTCTGATGGAAGAACTGTATCCTAGGTTTTCCTGAGCCTGAACTGTAACTGTTACTTCCCTAATAAACCCCATAATCTTGAGTATGGTCTGTGAATTCTAGGTGGCCATTGCAATGAATTGTCGAACCCAGCAGAGAAGTAGAAAGTGCTGTGCGAGGGACAGTTGGTGTTAGAATTAATAAAGATGGCGGAGGAAGGAGGCTTGTCTGTCCTCCACCTCATGAGTCAGCCTTGCACTGTTGGTCTTGGTTCTCCTTCCCCCTTGTGGGGTCGGAGAAGGTCAGATATTACCTTCACGTTGTTTTTACAAAGAGACCTTACAAGTTAACTGCTCCAATCACCCATCTGATGCACGCCTCCTCGGTTTGCTCAACAGGTTATCCAGCTGTTGCTTAGATACTTCCAGTCAGCATACCAAAGCAGTTTGGGACATCCTTGGATGAAACATATGTTCCAGGAGTTTTCACTTAGTGACTTTCATTAAAACCTTTTGAACTATAGAAAATAAATCTAATCTCTCTTCACATACAGCCTTTAAAATATTTTAAGACCTCTATGCTGTTGGACCTGAACTTACTTTTCTCCAAGTATTCCCCATTTGACATAGTTTTGAGTTTTCCCTGCAAATAAATATTGTCATTAGAGTGGAAAGTACTATCTAGGAGCAGAAGAATATTAAAATAATTTTCTCGATATAACTTCTCAAGCAGCAGATTGAGGTAGAGAGGAGGGTCAGGAGCTGGTTGAATGGACATGGGAAATCAGGGGTGGAAAGGAAGAGTGTGCTGTCACAGTACAGGGAGAGCAATTAGGGTCACATAGCAATGTATGTATAAATTTTTGTATGAGAGACTAATTTGAATTGTAAACTTTCACTTATACTACAACAATAAAAAAAAAGAAAGAATGCTTGGCTGACAGAAAAGAAGCAGATTGAGGAGAACTTTATGAAAATAAGCCTTGATGAGTGTCTATTCATTCATACCTTTGACAGAACAGGAGAACACACCCATTATGTGTAAGACTCTGCAAGGTTCTGAGGATTCAGAAATAAGACCAAACAATCATCCATTGGAACTGAACAATGAATGAATAAATGGATGAATGAGGCACAGCATTTGACCTCACAAAGCTTATAGTCTTGTGAATGTCAGTTCAATAAATTTCTTAATATCTTTCACACTTAACATAGTCTAGGAATTATCAACCAAGGGTCTACAAATCTTTACATTTAAATCATTAGGCATAATTTATGTTTTATGACTTACAAATTTTCCACTGCACAGCTCAGGAAATGAAGTAATCAGCTTGATTAAATCTTTGGGTATCCAGCTTACTGAGCTGTGCACATCACTAGTATATCCAGAAAATACTAAAATGCTTTTTATTATACCATATTTGGAATACAATACTCAGCATCTCCCAGGAGTTCCACCTCCTGTGAACAGAACCTGTGTATTTACCCTCTGTGCTTGATACCAATGAATTCCAGAAAATGGTTTTCCATAAATCGCCTTGTACATATTCTAATTTTATTTTTTTTGATTTTAAAGTATTGCATACAAGCTCAAAGAATAATGACATGAATAACAATTTTTTTAAAAGAATACTTTCTCTTCCTACTTGTAACCCCACTACCCAGATGCATTCACTGTTGACAGTTTAGAATCTATTCTTTTATCATTTCTGAACTTATTTTAATGTTTGAACATATCATATGTCATAGAAATATTTCCAAGTCATAACATAAATATTCCTAACCAGTTAAAAAGTAGAGATGGAAACAAAATCCAAGATCTTGAGCCTTCATCCATCTTTCTACTCATCTTTTATACTGCAGCATTCTATTTTCTGCTAGTATTCTAGTAGGATTTGAAATTAATATGGATTGTTTTATATTGGGGGAAATATATAAAGCAGTTAGTACTCTATCTTAGGGTTATTCGGAGTTTTGAAAAGTAAAATTTTGTCAGCTATCATGTTGGGCTAAACAACTCCTTGAGAAGCCGTGTGCCAGGCAGTTCATACAGAGAATTTAATTTGTTTGCTTCTTCTGAGTTTTGCCATTGAGCTTTCTGTGGGAAAGCTCTCCCTAAAAACACACTTTATTGGCTCTAATTAAGAATGCATCCAGTAGTGTTCTCTCAGGCTTTAGATGCCTGCTGGCTTAATTTTTAAGCTTCTCCATTCTCGATAAAAGTGCTGAATTGAATTTAAAAGTCTATTCT